CAGCATAAGCTGACTAAACAAGCCCTGCCAGCCTGATGCTGCTACTTAGCCTGGTTCAAACTTGCATTATACCTATCCTAGGGTACTGCAGTCGTTCCTGTGGCTGCTGTTTAGAAGTAGAGGTAATGCAATCTAAAGGCATTATTATGTTAGGTTTGGTATCAACCTCCTTTTACAGTCATTGTGCTTTGTGCTGGAGTTAAATATGGAAAAAATGTACTGTAGCATAGATTTTGTCTGGAATGTGAGGGAAAAGGTGTAAAAATGGGACATTTCTATGGAAATAGAACCTTCTGGACAATATTTTTCAGACGATTCTACACATAGTTCTGCATCCCTTTTTTAATGGCACTGAATTGACTGGTGGTAATCTTGAATCATTCATTAACCACAATTTTCTGTCCTGCTATTGACCTGCTGTAATGTAATTGCAGCCATGCGAGTGTCATCTCCAGAAGGTCCCTCTGTGAGGAAAAAAAAATATCACAGAAGTGTCTCCCATCCATCTTGATTGTAATTGTGAACAGAAGGCTCCGCAAAGTCACACAGTCTGGGTTTGTTTCCACTGACTCACGGCTGCCTCTGGGAATGCTGAGCAAATGCAGCTGCTGAGATGTCTTTTAAACCGCTTGGTTGCAGGTTGATCATAATTGCTATCAGAGAGCCAAGGGATACAGAGCTTTTATGCAGAGTTCATATACAATATGTTTAGTAGCCCAAGGGAAAGATTTCTGCCCAGTGATTTTCTCTGCACATCTGCTCACTTACCGCCTTTTTTTTTTGCATACCTATTGCTATTGCCAAATACTATTTCTCCTGAAAAAAAGAAATTAAGGAATCTCAGCAATGCCACAGAACCAGATCGCTCATTGACACTGTGTCATTCAAGGAGGGAGGAAAAAGAAGAATCGAAGCTGTGATTCCCCTTTTTGCTTGCTTGCTTGTTTGTTTGCTTGCTTAGTTGTACCTGTAAGAACAAAAGGCAGAGCACTTGCTGATCCCAGATTCAGCAGTGCTATGAAAACAGATAGCTCCACATTGATAAAACTGTTAGGTGAGTTAGTGCCATTACCTTTGTTTTGAAGCCTCATATGGTTTCAGACACTTCTACATCATTCTGGAACAGAACACAGAACTCAGGGGTCATTCCTCTAACACAATATATGCGTCTTTGCCACTGGTAAGACATTTGCTATGAAATACCAATGAAAACCAAAACACAAAGGGGTGCCAGGAGGGAGAACCCTGGCAGCGTCATTTTCATTTCTTGTATTATTACAAAGTTCATTCAATTTACTTAAATTTCATTATTTTTGTATTAAACATCATGGATATAAAAGATTAACATGTTACCCATGCTACTCTAGTCTTGTCTTCATTTTTAAAAGAAAATTTGTCTCTGTGACCCTGCAATCACTGTAAAATATAATTGACACATAACTAAAGTACTGTCTTTTGGTCATGTGTTGTCATTATACAACAATCCTTAACTCAGCTACAGGGATGTTTTAACTACATTGACTCATACAGTAGAGATTACAAGCTAAAATTCAAATAGAAAAATTTGAAGGCACTTCATGTAAGAAGTATGAAGTAGAAAGGAAGGATAAAGAATAGGAAAAGAAAGGAAGTGTAAAGAAGGATGCCGTTGGTCCCATGAGTATTGCAAATCCTTTTGCATTTTCAGGAGGCCAGGAAAATTCTGCCCCAGAAAACTCCACCACAAAGAAGTAGTTCTGCGTGCTCAGAAATATAGGATATGGCCTTAGCAGTCTTAGCTGCACATGAAAATGAGTATCATCAGAGCACAATACACAGCAAAGACACCGTTTCCACCCAAGATAGATTAATTGGCATGTAAGCATCAAACCATTTGCATCAAGTCACTGTGGAACACCTCGACTCACAACTGAGGAAAATCAGATGGGATTTTCAGTGGTTTTCTAGTTTCAGCCATTGGTAGGAAGGGGATCCAGGGAGTTCTGGGCTTTACACTGCATTGTTGTCATGACTTGGATCATCCCTAAAAACATTACCCTGGACTTGCACAGATTGCAGAACAGGGCTTGACAGAACCTCCAAGAAAGAGATGGACTACCTGCTTGCCAGGTCAGACCCAGGCCTCCTCCAGCTCTATGATGTTGCAGCCTGTCAGGCAAAATGAGACAGAAAGCTATGGCTGTGACATGACAAGCAGGGAGAAATTAACTCAGATAAAAATAATGCATAATTCAGATGTCGGTCTTTTTGGACACAGAGTGAATTACTCTGTTAGTTATACGTTCCTGTCAGTTGATGGACACCAGCCTGTGAGCCAGACACAAATGTTTAAATATGGAGATAGAGCTCCTTTAAACCAGCACCTGAATGACCTTTGCTGAACTGCAGTACCACAGAAGGTTGCATACATCCATCTAACTAGTATTATAAAAGGCTGAACAATTTTAATGTTGCTTTTCCCGCTAGTAAAACAGTCAGGTTTAGAGCCTCAAGAATAAACTTGACCTCTTCTTTCACACACTGGTAACTAAAGAGAGGATCTCCAGAGGGCTCCTTCCTAACACTTGTCTTTTTAACCCCTGTCATGTGTAAGAGTTTGTTGTAGGCTTAAAGAAATCAAAGTGCAAAGTATACTGTATTTCACCAAACACTGGTAGTATTGCTAAGAAACTTAGCAATTCTTTTCTCAACCTGGAGCCTAAAAAATAAATGACTAAATTTCTATACTGGCCTGCACTGTAGGTGCTTAATATTAGAAAAAGAGCATTTATAAAATGGCAGCCAGTTGTCAGTCCTTTACATTTGACTGCAGAAACCCTTTCTTCAAAGTCATATTTGGTGGCAATCTTGTTCCTTAAATGTCCATTTGGAATGGAAATCTACTGGCTACTTTGTCTCACAGTCTGATCACAGCTGCTTAGACTATAAGGTACATTAAATTTAAGTGAAGTATGTAATGCACAATGCTTCACCAAAGTGTGTAGCGGTACCAGCTCATTAGAAGATTGTTCAAATTCGATACAGATTTGACAAAAGGACATTATAACATGAAAATAATGGTTATTAGTGCTGGCTTGACAGCAGAAAAGTATTAATTGGCGAACCTCTGAATACCTGTAGAATATGGAGTCCTAACAACCAACAAGTGCCAAGTTATTTTAAAGATTCATTAACTATTAGACATAGAGGGATTATTTCACCTTTAATAATTTTTCTAGTTAGTTTTTGCATCACTAACTTTGGGGTCTGTACCCATAAAATGCTGAAAGCCTTCATCTCCCTGGACTAGAATAGCTTTGGTCTATAACCAGAAGAGGACATGAGTCCTGGCAGATTACACATCATGGTGATCGTGGAGCTTTCCTGGAGATACATGGGCCTCACAGAGAAGCTCTGGATGCAGCCAGTGGGAGTAGCTGGGTACCTCTGCACACAGCAGTTTGAAAGAGCTGTCTCGTGAGGCAACAAGAGAGGTCAAGTCAACAAACCTGCCTTACAGTCACCTAGAAAGTAGACTGAAGACGAGGGAAGTATCAGACGCAGCCTCTTCAGACTGCTGGACATGGGCTGTCTTGTCCTTTGTATATCGTCTATTTATAGAGGGAAAAGCAGTAGCAAGGAGCTACCAGGCCTAGGGTCCTTCCCATGGAGGTCAAGGCTCTCAGCACACCACTGCTGGGATGCCCAGCATGGCAAAGGGACAGCCTTCATCACAAGGCACGATGAAAACAGGTTATACCAGACTGTGGCCAGGGGCAGGTTCTGATTTCAACAGGTCTTTTGACTGAAGTAGGTTTATCTGGTTTTGACCAAAAGCAGGAACTGCAAGATTTCTTTCCAAAACTGAGCAGATGTCACTCATTAAAGTCTGCAGGGCTTGGCTGCTTCATCTATTTACACAAGAATTCAGTAATTAGACTTACAGCTAAGATGCACGAGACCTCATTCAGTTGTATTCTCCCCTTCAGGGGGTTTTAGCCTCCTCTGTGCCACTTTCACAGAGGTTGTAAAGTGAAGGCCTAGGTGTACAGGTTGTCATTGCTTTTAAAATGAGAATGCAACGTGGACAGGTGAAAGGCTGATTTTGCTTGAAGCCAACAGGAGCCGGCAGTCCCAACTACAGGACCTGTCAGCCTGTCAGACAGCCTCTGGGAGGGAATTAGCTCAGAGGGAAATTGTGTTCCTTCAGAAAAGCAATGTTCTGTTAAAAGTCTTGTTTTCTTTTAATCAAAAATAGACTCTTCAAAACTCGTTATCAATTGGATAAGCAGTGGATAACCTGCAACTCAGCTAAAAAGAAATAGCATCTGTCATCGCTGGACCAAGCAGGCATGACAATGGAGAGGATGAGTAGAGCAACTTCCTCCATCGACTAAACCAATAAAACTGCATAATGCGAACATGGACTGAGATGAGAACATCTCATCTTTGGAGATTTCTCCACTAGTACATGATCATCCTTTCCCCATGGCTCAAGCGCTCCAGCCCCTAACCAGCTTGGGACTCCTCCACTGAACTCTCTCCAGCTCACTGAGGTCCTTCTTGTGCTGGGTTAGCACAGGGGACAACTGGACCCAGTATTCTGGATGTGATCTGATAAGTCACATCCCTCAATCGACTGGTTTGTGCAGCCCAGGAGACAGCTGGCTATTTCCGCCCCACCCTTCCTCTCCAACTTGGGCTGCTGCAGGGGTTCTTCCTTCCCAGGGGCAGCACTGGGCATTTCTCCTTTCATATAGTGTCCACCATAACTGTCCACTAGATAAATGGTTGAACTGTACAACCATGAATGACAAGACCAGGTTGAAATTGCTTTACATCATCATCCTTTTTGCCTTATATTATTGATATAATATCAATATAAATCTATTAAAATAATTCCAAGTTTATTAGAAATAGCTAGCAGAAATCAATTTCCATGTTTATAAACACTGATTAATTTTTCTGTACATACATATACCTTCATAACATCCCTCAATTTCTTTGAAGCAGCACATAAGCAATACAGTTGGCATGCCACAATGTGTCACTCTCCCCTTTGGTGTACCTAACAAATTTACCAGTGGCAGAAGAGCCTCTTGGCCTCCCAAAGGTGATGCAGGAAGAGTCGTTCTCCAGGATTTTGTCATTGTAGTCATATTTTCCATCTAAGAGCATAGCACATGTTTAGAGAAATTGAAACCCATTTTCCATCGTCTTACACTAACCTCTACAAGATGTTCTCCAACCCCAGCTATGCTGTTCCAGAGAGCTAGGCGATGTGAACTCCGTCTCTCTTCATAGCACAATAAGGTCTGAGATACCACTTCCTAAAGGGTAGTGATCTTAGCTGGCATAAATTCAGTAATTTTCCTGGACAAAAGAAAAAAAAGCCAGTGATCAATTATCGAATTATGTTAACCAAACTCAGTCCCCACAGACATCTCACTAAAATCCCCTTAAAAGGAGGACATGAGCAAAGGTATCTCTTCAGCAAAATTGTATTTGGCATCACCTAGAAGCACATACCGAACACTGCTAGCAACTATGTCTTATATGACAAGATTTGGAAAGAGTAAAATTATTACATAAGAGGAAGCTCAAATATTTGAAATTCTACACACTCTGAGTGAGGCTTCTTCTAGTCTGGTATCCGGTATCAGAGGTGTCACCTTAAGAAAAGCTAATTAAAAGCAAAGCAATTACACATGTTTCTTTCACAATACCTCTCTTTCTAGTAATTTAGAGTTTAGGAATATGCTGAGCTGGAGTTTACTTTTGGATCAGGATACTTAACAGGCACTGATAAGCCACTTATGAATTTGTCCTTATTAAGTCATGGATATTTGTGGTTTCTGTAACTTCCTATTGGAATAAGTTCCACAGTTTAGCTGAGCTTTAGATATGTGAAAAAAGATTCACCCATAGCATTAATACAGAACCCTGCTGTCCACAGTAAAATTAAAGTAAAACTTCTCCTTAAAAAAGAAACATAATCTAATACTGCAATTTTTTGTAATACTTTCCTTCTTTTTATGATGTGGATAACTGACCATGTTTTATAATGCCAAAAATGGAAAATGTGGCAGTGAGTGTGTAATTTCTCTCTTTGCCTTTTGTGCTTGATACAGCTCACAGGCACATTTGTTTCTTTCTAGTTGGAAAGTATCTAGTTGGAAAGAGGCATCCAGATGGAAGAGGGTCTTGCAGTCAAGTCACTGGGGGCTGTGGCCAGCCGATGGCCAAGCAGAGGAGTAACCTGCTGCAAAAGCAGCAGAGACCCTAGCAGATAATCAGCCACTGCAGACGCAGTATCAAGCCGAAGCTGCTGAAATGTTACTATAAATGCAGCACCATGCAAAAACCATCTGACTTGTTTCCATATCTAGCTTAGATCTGCACGCAATTTGGCTGGTTTTATGTGACACAGACTCCGATAAACATCCTGCAGAAGCTCAGCCAGATCTCATTTCCCCACCCCATGGGCTTATCAGTGAACTCAACGGTTCCTTCACTTTTCCATCCCAAGCAGTTGATACAACTCGGGGATGCTCAGGACTGGGACATCCCAGTGCCAGATGATCCAGTACAGGGTAAGCATATCCACATGGTCCTATCTGGGTAAATCCCAGCACTCAGGGCTGCCCAAGTCAGTGACCCATGGTGTGGGACATTGCTGTGCAGGGACAACCCACAGCTCCAGCCGAGCCGCTGCAGGGCAGTGCCCACCATGCCCCATCTGGGCTGGCTACTTGGAAAATACTGAAGCATCTCCCAGTGCACACACAGGCTGGATTTAAGTGTTTCCATTAAGCAGGAGAACCCCATTCCCCACACAGCGGGCAATTGGATGTATATGATCCTGTCAGAAAGGGCAGGCTCAAACCATTCAAAAAGAGTAGGAGGCAGAAATTTTAACCTTTGTGCCTTCTGCTACTGACTTTAGGTGCGGGCTTTGGCTTGTGCTGTAGACCTCACCTGGACCTGAAGAATCAAAGCAAATCTGAAGAAAATATGGTTCAGAAATGCTAAGATTGTAAAATGTCCGTTTCTGGCAGTTTTTGCTTTGTGTTCACAAGATCGTATCATTTAACATACTTCTAAGTTGTGATAGAGAAGAATTTGTCTTTGGAAAACCTGTAATTTGCTTGGAATAAGCAAAATACTAATTTATAAGATAAACTGATGGAACTGAACAGCTAATTTTTAGTTCAGGCACTGATTTAAGCAGTCTGTGAAGATTTCTTGATCTGACTCGATCCAAACTGTAGACAGAATTGCTCCTAGTTTGCTGAGCTCTGGTCTTTTCTGTTTTTGTGGCATGTGTGGTTTATTGTTATTTCAAATATTTTTTGTTAAATATGGAGAATACTGAGGCAGAATTTTCTTCCCGCTGGCACATGACACATAGCAGTTAAATCTGGTAAAAGGAATGTGTACGTACGGCGAGCAATCCATAGGAGGTCAGTGACAGATGTAGAGATGAGTGTTCAAAATGCATACACAAAACATTCATGAAGTTATGCCAATTAAATTATTGCACTAATTAGAATGAAAAGTGAGCCAAGAAGAACTGGTCAGAAGAGCAAGTGGTTGGTTACCATTGTTATTTTCTGCAGTTCTTCTGTTACAAAATTCACATGAAAAGAAAGTACTTGTAACTTCAATTCCCCAGCTTACTTGTATGAGACCTCAAACTCCTGCAACAATTAAAGAAAACAAATTGATTTTTCTTAGGGTTGGACCAAAAGAGCCAGGTGCAGCAAGGGTCTGGGCATGTTCTTGTGTCTCTCATTGTTCTGGTATTGGCAATGTGCACAGGTAGCACAGGGCTCTGCCATGGATGGCGCAGCCGTGTTGCCGTTACCTGATGGCTCAGCATTTCATCTGGGGACTGAGCAGAGCTAGATGTAGGAGTCTGGAACTCAAACCAACTCACTGTCAGCATTATACAGCCTGAGCACATTCTGATGTCTTGTGGTCTTTAACGGAAAAGCTTTGGAGCTTGTCCTTGACATAAATGAACATTATCACCATTCCAGGAGTAAGGCATAGAGACAAGGGATGGACTTTGGTTGAGAGGAAGCTGGTGGCTGAGATAAGATCGAAACAGGGAATCTCTGAGGCAACGGTGCCCCCTTTCACTGTTTCAGAAACATTTTCAGCTCTGAGGGCAGCTCTGAGCTTGACCTGCCAGGTCATCCTTCTGTCCTCAATACTTGGATCTTACATCACTGCTTGAGCCTATTATTAAAATTGCAATGCCAGAAGGAAAATTTTAAAAATAATCTTCTGGATTTTCACATTCTTTATGTCTTTGGATTGAAGGAAAGGTAATGAAAGTACCAGACACAGATGCATTATTCAGCAAAGTGACTGCTACATCATAGAGACCCAGGCCAGGGTTTGTGAACCACAATGGAAATAAGTGGACATAGATTAACTTAGGCTGTTCTTCCTCAGCATGCTTGGTCACCATGCCAGACCTTTACCATTGCACAGGACATAGCGATGATAGTTGTCCTACAAGGCTACCTATCTGTATGCAATAAAAGTGTTTATTTTAAGGATTGCAGGACTGATCCAATGGAAACCACAAGTCTCTTTGGTTTCTTTCATAAGTAGTGCCAGAGAGCAGGAAGGAACTGAGAATGCCTCAGTAGAAGACAAGTCCAATTTATCTCTGCTGATCAAGCATATCTTGTTTCTAAATGAGAGAGGGTTTCCTCAGATCACTGGGAGCTTGTGAAAAGTCTAGAAATAAACGTGGATACTTTTCAATAATCTTTTTACATAAGAGTAAGTAGGGCAGAAACACCACTAGATACTTGGTGAAATAATAACATTAATCTTTTTGTGGTAAATGGCATCAAATATCAAGGTTGGTTTTATCAATAAAATTCTCTTTTGCATTCAGTGCAGTAATTTATTGCATCCTTTGACAACATGAGTGCCTTAGTCTTGGCTCATGTGCAATATGTTTTAGTTTTAATGTGTGTTTATGTATGTAGATCCAGAATTTTCCATTCATATGGTATTGAAAACACCTCTTCGACTTTACAAATAAGAATGTTGAGAATATTGTCTGCAGTCAGGTAATAACTCAATTTATAATAGCTATGGCACAATCTGAAGAAGTCTACTGACAGTTTTCAAATAGCTGATCGTAATGATCACATCCTAGATTCTGAAAAGTCCACAGAAATCCTCTTACCCTCACACAAGTAACCAGAGTGTTCTTCACACCCACATGTACGGTAACAATATTTTTGGTGTAAACAAGTTCCTGGACAAGTGCAAATAAGTACAAACTGTACTTAAGTCTTTGCTCTGAACTCTGGTCAATAGAACATTACTAGCACAACAGTTTACAACTGTTACTCCTCCCAGTGTGGCCAAAGCAATTCTATTAGAAGACACGCTGAGAATAGCAATGATTTAGCAGATAGCCAAGATAACCAAGTTATTTTCAGTTTGGTGCTAAATATAGAAGTTCTAACCCATTTGGTGTACCAAACAGAGCAGGTGAAGTAGTTAAATGTTTTATTATTCAAATCAGAATGAAAAGATTTCCAATTAACACCATTTACTTTTAGTATTTCAATGTGAAAATGAAACAATATCCCTTTCCAATAGATTTGGATGAGTTTGGTTGTTTCATTTTCTATGTGCTATGTAGTTTTTAATCTATCCTAGCATAAATATAGGTGTCTAATATCCTTTTCTTGGGTTTGTAGGAGCACTTACCTCTTTAGACTGTAATGTAGTCAACCATATCTTCTTCAGTCTTTTAGCTTATATTAATTCATTATGTGTGATTAAGCTTTGTAGAAATAATTTGTAATTGAATTGGCAGCACAGAAACTGAGTGTAAAGAAAATTTGGCAAAGTGCCCATTTTAGTATACTAATTCTGCCAAGTGAGTTGATAATAAGATTGAACTGGATTTGAAAGATTAGAGAGACTTGGCTTAGAAGGACATGAAGGTTAGTTCCATGTCATTTTTCAGCTGTTTAAAGGGAGCCAGTATTTGAATTTTTGTCTGTACTTTTGTGATGAACTCTTTCTATAATCATCCATGGGAAAGAGGGTGCCAAAATTAAAAATTAAATAAAAATAGCAAATTATTTATTTCCATTACCTTTGGATGCCGAAATTGATCCACACAGTCCCAAGGTTTATTAGCTCAGAAGCTTCTGTGTCAGGGCTTGCCAGATAACTGATCGGGTGACCTACATGCTACAAGAACATATTCAGACTGCTCAACTTTAAATGTTTTTATTTTGTGCTGCAGACTGTAGACAGAAGAGCATGTCAAAATTAAATCAAAGGGGTCACTGAGATCTGCCTTGTTACTTTTTTCACTGATTTTG